AAAGGTGAGGAAAGTTATGACAAGGCAGCTTCTGAACTAAAACAGAATTCATAAAGGCAGGAATTCGTGAAGCAAAGCAAACTACTTTCACAGGTACTATTTCTGTGAGTAACAGCAGTACGTTCCGACCGGGGGCTCAGCAAAGGTGTATAATTTGGGATCGGGTCACCATCCTCTAAGACCTCTGTACAGTGTAGTCAATTCATGTGATGGATTACAGCCTTGCTTTCTAGACAGGGGGCGACAACCGTGGAGGGACACTCAAATGCTGAGTGTGAAAAATGGAAACATCACGTGGCTGGGAAGACCATGAAAGTAAACACAAGCTGCAGGCTTTTTCCCTTCTTCTGTTTAGAAGGAATTTTGATCAAAGTTTAAAACAGCCCACACCAAATGTGTGCTTTATGTTTTATATGTAGGACCAGCTGGGACCCACTGTCAGAGTCCAGAGTGGGAGCTGGGGGAGGGGTGGGCAGATGGGGGATGGAAGTGGGGATGAACTCAGATTCCTAAGTGATCTCTCAAGCTAGCAGATTTCAACATCCTATACAAACTGATGTGGTCATGGAATCTCACTAGTCTACATATTCTGGATTAGTGTGACTTTAATCAAAGGATCTCAAAATACTGTCTCAAGAAATAGCCCCACTGGACAGCTTACTTATGAAAGGAATACAGTTTGATTCTCTTATCCCTAAATCCCCACTTCCATCAACTCATTTCCTTGTGTCAGGGGAAATACGGAAGCACCGCTGAATGCAGAAAGAGCGGGAAGATGGCCTTTCAAGAGCTCGCCTAAGGAGCCTCCCCTAAGGAGCATGTACCACCCATTGTGCACCCCCATCACACCGTTCACCTGCACCAGACGGGGAAGAGGTTCTCTCCAAAGAAGGTAGAACGGGGCTTTGCTGGGTTGTGGGAAAATGAAATGTGATGCTCAGATCTGTGATTTTAGCTTCCATGCAAAGAGGAGATAAAAGAGGGGGAGGGACAGCATAAAATCTGTGCCCGAGGACATCTGCTGATCTTGACATGTGTTCTATTAACTTTGTTTAAGTGGCTGACAGAATACACTCTCAGCTCAACATGCTTTCCCACCCACAGAACTACCCGTCCTAGGAAATGGGGTAAAAAATAACAGCTTTGGAGACACAGCATGCAACGGTCAAGGCCAGGTCAAGATTCCTCAGATGTGAATGATGTGAATAACAATAAACCGTGATGTTTAAAAACAGAATGGGCTGTTACAGCCGTGTGCCTGCACGTGACATACCAAGCACGTGGCTCACTTCCAGAGTCACGTGGGATGTGAAACAGCGGGATGATGCGTTTCCACAGCAAGCATCTGTCCACTTGCTAAGCCCCTACGATGCTGTTCTAGGTACTTGGGATAATGGAGAGACATCCAAGACCCCTGCCCTCACAGGGCCTAACAATCTACCAGAGCGAACAGATAATAAACGAACAGTGTGGTAAGTACATTCTAGAGTAGGTTAGATAATAAATGCTTTGCAAAAGCAGAAAGGCAGATTGTACGTGAAACGAGATGAGCAGAGCCAGCCTCCTTGAGAAGAAAGCTTTAAGCAAACAGTGGAGAGTGGGTCAGCTAAGAGGACGGCTGAGGAAGAGCTGTCCAAGCAGAGGCCCGAGGTGGGAGAGGAACCGGAAAGGGCATCAGAGGGCACGCCGTCTCTCTCGGGTCCAACTTCATCTCTCATCCCTGCTTTCTAGCATAAGATAGGGGCTCAGTTCATATTTACTGAATGATTTAAACTGCAAGAAACACAGGATTATCCAATATACAAATTCAATCCAAACTAGGCCAGGGCTTCAAAAGAAAACTGTATGCAAACTGGATTGGTGGAAGGTACATTCTCCTGAGAGGAGCTGGGGATCAGATCTTCAAATGGGTTTTTGACTCTCTTTTCCCCAAAATGTGAGACGTCACAGCTTTCTTTCCAGGAACATGCAAGAAAAGCAAAAAGTGGGTTCTGTCATCAGGGGGAACTCCTCACACAGATGCTACTTGTGGGCAGAGTTTAAAGACAACGTTCTTTTACATACAAAGAGGGAAGGTGGTGAGAGGGGCATAAAGGTAGGTTTATCCCACGCTCATCTCGGGGGCGTGCCCACTGTCCCCATAACACTCCCTCTGCAAAAGAGACCTGCATGTCACCGGGGTAACCTTTTCAACAAAATACAGTCAAACATGAAAAACAGGCTAAGTAAGGTGAGGGAGTAAAAAGGAAAAAAAGGCAAAAGAATTCCATTACAGTAAGAAGAGAAAAGTACTATTCTTTCTCACCTTCATATAATTTGTCCCTGCAAACACTTTTCAAATAAACACACCCTCAGGCAAAAGAAATTAAAGCCCCACAGATTCCAACAAATAAGTCTGTCCTTACAACTACTTTCCATATCAATTTGACATGCAACTAGCAGGATCTGTGGAATCCACATTTCATAGGAATCCTATTTAAATGAGAATGCAAGAGTAACATTTCTAGAAAATCTAATATTTAGTACCTCAACTCCCCACCCAAGCCCCCATACTGTCTTTTCAACCTTTCAATCGCTCCTAATTTCTCATTTATAATCAGGCCTGCTCTAATACTCTAATGCACATTACCGTGGGTCTCTTTCTTAAACTCTGCTAAAATATTTCATTTTACTCTTTCTATGTATTAAAAAAAAAAAAAGAAAAAGCTGTTAAAAATCTCAGTTGTTACCACATTACGTGAGAAAGAAAGCGTTATAAAATAGTTTAGGTCCTACAAAGAGAAAATCATTTTTAAGGGAAGACTTGCTTTTCCGTATACTATATCCAAATGAAAATATCAAATGCAATTTTTGTTTAGAAGCTATTTTTACAAAATCTTTTTGTCCCTAATCTTGACAAGGTACCCCTTTTAAATAATCTTTTCTGACCTGACTCAGATGTTTTTATAAGTTTGTAATCTTTTGTATGCCAGGAGAAATTACATCATTTTTCCTTTTGAATTAGACTACATGTTAGGAAGTGTATCTAACTTAAAATATCAAAAGTCAAATTAAAAATATGTAGTTTGGTAGGAAAAAACAATTATGTATATACCTCCCCTCAGCTAAGTGAAACTATGCAAGAAACACAATGGTTGACAAAATTATACATAATTATATATATATATATACACATATATATATAAAATGACAAAATTGTATATATATTACATATATACAAAAAACTTTCAGAGTCAAGTTTTTTTGATTCATCTAGAAAAAAACCTAACTTTTGCTTTTGAGCTGTCAAGTAAAACATATCATTTGAATATTATTTCTAAAGTACAGTATAATGTTTATAAAACAAGTATCCCTTTTGGGTTGGGATGGGAAGAGAAAAGCTCTTCCCTTCAAGTATCTTTAGTGAGTTCTTTGACATTTATAAAATACTCCCAATTCCATTTACCCTTGCATTCTGCTTCTTCATTCCCGGTACCTCATTCATTTGTGCTAAAATAAGCCAACATTAAAGAAGACACAATAGGAACAGGATCTCTTCCAGAAATACACTGTGATGCCCACAGTCAGTTTTACTTGACACATAACCACCGCAGCTGAGTCCACCCACTTGAAACACATCTTTCCATGCCTTTCTCATTCTCTGGGAAAAAGATTATACAGGGGGAACAATGCTTGAGATTTACCAGTGAAGAAATGAATGATTTGACAAGGCTGTTAACAGCAAAGCGGAGTAAAAGGCTTGTCTCTGTGTGAAACTGAACAGAAGAAATACCTTAAGGAACAGCTGTGCTCAGAGCTGAAGTGGGGACCATCTCCAATGAACAATGAGTGGGCTTTGGATCAAGGTGTTTTCCACTTGAGAAAAATATTCAGTGATTTTTTTTTTTTTTTCCTCATGAAGGTCAAGCACACTATTGGCATTAATGCTACAAATGACACTACCCAGGCAGGAAGAGGACTCCCTGTGCGCCTACACTAACTACAGGATAGAGCTTCAGCTTCAGCCAGTATTCCTGGAGAGGAAACCAAGAGGTAGACACCAGGTTACAACAACAATGGTTTCTTCTCCGTTGAGTTCTGTGGTCATTTTATTACTCTCTCCATTTTCCATGCAGATCAAATTAATGTTAAATATACTTACATTAGACTTACCCTCTACTTTCCCAAAATGATTATTTAGGTATATAATACCAGTTACAAGAATAAGAATGCAAAAGGTGTTTAATTCCATGGCAACTCTAATAATAGTGTTTTGAGACACTAACTGAAAAGGTTCTCAGATATCATCACCCTAGTTTTATAACAACTCTCCACCCCACAAACACAAATTTCTAGCCATGTAATGATTGACCAAACTTTTATGCACCATACATAAATTCAGGTAAAGTTGCCAAAACAACTTCTGCCCAGACCATTTCAGCCCAGCTCAACCAACGTGAGACTTTTCCTTTAAAAAAAAAAAAAAAAAAAAAAAAAAAAAAGGAA